GTTTTTACTTATTACGTTATGGGGGGTCTAAGCATCCTACAACTTCGACCATGCATTCTTTCACAATTTCTACATCACTGAATGGCTTCCCTTTTTTCCCGAGTATATAAGCTACTTTATAAGTTGCTTCAGTGGCGTTATTTCCAGGTCTTATTGCTGCCGGAAAGAACTGTCTTTGCTTTTGATTTCTGCAATACAACCTTTCCTGCTTCTCCCTCTAATTTAAAGTATTTGTGGTCCTTATGAGTGTTATAATGCTGATGAGCACTGAATTTCTTTAATGTTGATACTCTAGTATCACAAAGCAAGCAAATCATCTTTTTCTTTTTTTTTCTAGTTCTACAACACAGTTGCAAAAATAATCTTATCTTTAGCAGAATCAAGATAATACTGCTATTCCCCAATCCTCATTAAAAAATCTGCTTTCTTCAGTGTTCTCTTAATCTTTGACATAATGGGCTGTAAAGCAGACAGATTTAAAAAATACTGTCAAGCTATGCAACCATTCACAAATTCTACTTCAAAGAGAAATGCAGTGCATTGTTATCAAAAGCTGATAACAGACTGGAGTACTCAACCGCCACAAACTCTTGCCAGCTGGCCTGGCGTAGTAGTGGTGCCAGTTAGAACGAAATCATGAGCATAGTAGCTGTCAATTTAGCCCTTATGGCTTACTAATGTTCTAATTGTGCTGGTCGATCTGAAGGATTATTTTGTTGAAACTTATTCTTTGGTTATCTTAAATACATTCATTTAAAAAATAAAATAAAAACATAAAAGAACAAAAATATATTAATAAAAGAATTTGTTCTGTAAAATTTGGATTAAGTCAAAAGGCCACACTTAAGGACCTAGAAGGGCACATGTGGCCTTAAGGCCACAGGTTCCCCACTCCTGGCCTAGGGTTACAGGCATGAGCCACTGCACTCTGCCCAACTTCTTAAAACAATGAAGTCTGCCACATCGATCACTCTTCCTTTCATGAAAGATTTCCTGGTGGCATGGGATGCTGTTTGAGTCAATCCTCTTAAACCCTGCTGTTGCATTATCAACAAAGTTTATGTAATATTCTAAATCCTTTGTCATCATTTCAGCAGTGTTCACGGCATCTTCACCAGGAGTAGATTCCAAAGCAAGAAACTACTCTTTCCTCATCCATAGGAAGCAACTCCTCATTCATTAAAGTTTTATCCTAAGATTGCAAATATTCAGTCACATCATCTTCAGGCTCCACTTCTAATTCTAGTTCTCTTGCTATATCCACCACATCTGCAGTTCCTTCTCTACCGAAGTTTGAACCCCTCAGAGTCATCCAGAAGGATTACAATCAACTTCTTCCAAACTCCTGTTAATGTTGATATTTTGACCTCCTCCTATGAATCACAAATGTTCTTAATGGTGTCTAAAAGGAATTCTTTCCAGAATGTTTTCAATTTACTATGCCCAGATCTATTATAGAAATCACCACGTATGGTAGTTACAGCCTTCCAAAATGTATTTTTTAAGTGATAAGACTTGAAAGTTGAAATTACTCCTTGATGTATGGGCTACAGAATGGATGTTCTGTTAGCAGACATAATAACAACATTAACCCTCTTGTACATCTTCCGTCAGAGCTCTTGGGTGACCAGATGCATCATCAATGAGCAGTACTATTTGAAAGGGAATCTTTTTTTCTGAGCAGTAGGTCTCAACAGTGGGCTTAAAATATTCAGTAAACTATGCTGTAAAACAGATGTGCTATCAGGCAGGCTTTGTTGTTCTATTCCTAGAGGACAGGCAGAGTAGATTTAGCATAATTTTTTTCTTAAGGGCCCTTGGATTTTCAGAATGGTTCATGAGCATTGGCTTGAAGTCATCAGCTGCATTATCCCCTAACAAGAGCATCAGCTTATCCTCTGAAGCTTTGACGCCAGGCACTGACTTCTCTTTAGCTACGGAAGTCCTTGATAACAACTTCTTCTAATAGAAAGCTGTTTTATCTACACTGAAAATCTGTTGCTTACTGTAGCCAGCTTCCCCAATGACCTTAGCTACATCTTCTGGATAACTTCAGCTTCTTCATCAGCACTTGCTACTTCACCCTATACTTTTATGTTATGAAGATGGCTTCTTTCCTTAAATCTCATGAACCAACCTCTGCTAGCTTCTAATTTTTCTTCTACAGCTTCCTCACCTCTCTCAGCCTACACAGAGTTGAAGAGAGTTAGTGCCTTGCTCCGGATTAGGCTCTGGCCTTAGGGAATATTGTGGCTGCTTTGATCTTCTATCCAGACCACTCAAACTTCCTCCATATCAGCAATAAGGCTGTTTTGCTTTCTTATCATTCGTGTGTTCACTGCAGTAGCACTTTTCATTTCCTTCAAGAACTTTTCCTTTGCATTCACAACTTGGCTATCTGGTGCAGCAAGAGGCCTAGCTTTCAACCTACCTCAGCTTTTGGCATGCCTTTCTTACTAAGCTTAATCATTTCTAGCTCTCGATGTAAAGTGAGAGACATGTGACTCTTCTTTTCCCTTGAACACTTGGAGGCCACGGTAGTGTTACTAACTGGCTCAATTTCAGTATTGCTGCATCTCAGGGAATAGGGAGGTCAGAGGAGAGGAACAGAGATGGGAATCAGCCAGTTGGTGGAGCAGTGAGAACACAGCCGATATTTACTGATTAAGTTTGCTGTCTTATATGGGTGTGGTTCAGGGTTCGTGATGTACCCACAACAATTACAATTGTAACATTAAAGATCACTGATCTGTTATGATATCATAATGATCAAAATGCTTGAAACATTACAAGAATTACTAAAGTGTGACACAGACACAGGAAGTGATGATGTGCTGTTCGAAAAATGGCGTTGATAGAGTTGGTTGTTGCTGGATTGTTACAAACTGTCAACATGTAAAAAAAAATGCAGTATCTACGAAGCACAATAAAACGAGATATGTCTGTTTCTGCATCTATATCTACGCACCCTCTGGGTTCTATTTCTCTAGAGAATCCTGATGACTACAGAACATAAGAATGTATTTTAAGGCAACAAAGTATAAAATGAGATTTTTTCCTCCTCAGATTTCTTTCTTTTAAACCACTTTCTTGAGGTATGACTGACATACAGAAAGCTGTCAAATGGGATTCCTAAGCAACGTACCAGGAAAAACTATTTCTGCACAAAGACAAACAGGACAAGGGACTGTCATGGAGAAAGAGGGCTCCTCTGCAGCCTGAGCTTGAGCCAGCCTCCCTGCAGGGCATGAGCCTAGAGGCACAGGGAGCTGCCGAGATGCTGGCACACCCACGCTGCAAACCCAGGCCAGGGTGCAGCTCTGCATGGGGGGGACACAACTGTGTCTGATCTTTTAGTGACATCAAAGTCACAAAGTCCTATCGTGCTTCCACCTCCAGAAACCATCTAGCTGGGCCTCTACCACAGTGGGCATTTCCGGGAGATTCAGGAAAGGGAAGAGTTTTACAAACCAGCACCCAAATTTGATTTTCTTTAAAATAACGTTTAATGCAGCAAAATTGGTTTCAAGTTTCTTAAATGAATTAACCTCCCAGTATATAAGGTGTGATGGTAATGGCATCACACAGGTCTTACCTGTGGCTTACAGAATGAGTTATCTTCACAGATGTCATCCCAACACACCCCTGAAAACGAGTTAGGGGGTCCTCAGAAAGTCCTCATTCCCCACGCAAGACCTCCCAGGACTAAATTATTGTCGTGCCCTGTTTCGTGACCTCAAAAAGCTGTTTGTTTCTAAATGCAGGTTATTAAAAGAACCTGTTAGGATTAGTCTGAGAGACAGGAGGACGCCCATCTTCCCTTTGGGGTTGCGCATTTTGCTCAGAGATGAACCTGTACTAACAGACACAGCTTGCCCTTCAATAAGCTTCATTCTCTCCAGGGTCTCTGTGCCTCATCTGTGCTGTGCCCTCCTCTCCATGGCCACCCGCTGTGCCAGCTTTACCATCAAGCACTCACTTGAGAGTCCCGTCGGGGTTCTCCACGATGACTGCACTGGTATGGCCCAGGACGAAGCCCGGAATCCAGCCTTCGGCTGCGGGGCACTGGTCAGTGGCGGCTCGGAACACCAGAAACATGTTCTGCTGATTGCTGGCCAGAATTTGAACGACCTCTCCTTGATAGACATTTATCTCATCCTCCTTCACTGCCGTGTAATCGTGTGTCACCAACATGGTGGAGATGTTGCTACTGCTGCTACTTTCACTCTGTAGAGGGAAAGATGAAAAAGAAAAGGCGGAAGGGAACTGAAATGAGACCTAATCATGTAAAATCACGCATCGCTGTGTACCATGACCCAGTGCAGGGCTCCCCAGACAGGCACAGAGACACTTAAATTTCCTTCATACAAGCTAACTTTGTGCATCTTTTTCAAGAATTGAAAATAAGATTTCTCTAGAAAGCAATTTAGGGACAATCTAAAATAAAGTCACCACAATAATGACACTTTACTTTTGGGGGCTTGATATTATCAATCTGATCTTCCTTGCATGCTCACGGGAACACCTTAGTCCTCACGTCGACAGTATGTTGGGTTATTCCTAACCCCAAAAAAGCAATGTCACAGCGAATATCATGCTCTTTTGTTTAAGGTATTAAATTTAAAAGCTGCAAAGAGTTGCCCTTTGTCTCACTGATGCATCAGATAATGGAGAAGTCCCTAAATCTTCTAGACAAAACACTCATTGAAAACACATATTCCAGAATCATGCTCAGTTGCTGACATATCTAACCATTTCTACCTCTTTTCCCTTCAAAATGAAGATGGTGGAACCACTGAAAAGTAAAACCAACTACTACTCTCTTCTTGGGGATGGTTGCTCTGTCTCCATTACTCATCCCTTGCTGGGTGGCCCTCTTGCGAGCTGGCATGATTCAAGTGTCCCCAAGGTACTGTTGCCATGGGGGTGTATCACAGCATCACAGTGCCACTCAACTCAAATTTCAGGAGCAGACCTGGTGTGGGGATGCTTACCCCACCCTGATTCTGCAGCCCTGGTGGCACCTGATCTCTGGTCAGTGACTGACATGCAGTAGGCACTCAGTGTGTGTCGAGCGGCCCAGTTGATGAGGCAAGACTACCATGACAAAGCAAAGCTGGTTCCTTGAGGCCGTCCCTGGGCGCACACGCTGAGTGGTGCTAGCCACAGAACAGAAGAAACACAAATGGCAGTCTTTGAGTCAGGCTCTCATTTAGTGAGTGACCTACTGTTCCAAGGGGAGGAGAAGAAAGCTGAGGCCCCTGTCAGCTCCTGAGCTACATCTTGTACAAGTCCTCTCTATCAAACCAAGATGTGGAAATGGCATCTGGTGCCTTGTTCCCAGAAGCTGGTTCTCAGAAGCTCCCATCGGTGACGCTGTGGGATGTTCGTGGACTGTCAGGACTCCAAAGGTGCCGGCTTCTGCTGGGCTCTCGGACGCCCTGGGCAGATCCTGGGTCAGAGCACATGCAACCCATCAGTCAACCCTGCCATACTGCCGCTCATCCCTGGTCTACTGGGTGCTGAAGGACACGCTGGAGCAGATTGAAGCCAGCCGAGGGGACAAGCGAGAAGAGACTCTCCTGCTCTCCTCACGAGGCCAAGCGCAGGGAAGCCAACAGGCCAGCCGCTGGGAATTCCAGGGGCCAGGGCTAGGAATCTAGGCCTGCGGTGGATAATCTAAGACACAGCAGCTCTGCTCAGCTCTTGTTTCTTGTCTCTGCCGAGGAGGGGTCTGTTTCCTTGTGCCTGTCCCCATGGATGCTCACTTCTTGATTGTGGTCCCTCGCTGTGACGTGTGTTACACGTCAGGCTTTGGCCTGTGCACATTCATTTATACAATTTTATACCTTTAGCATGTAATCTGGTATGCTGAGTTACATGGCAACACCCAATAGTTTTGAGATTACAAAGCTGAATTTGCTAGAATATATAAACAAAACACATCTTCAGCACAGCTGCTTTTGGTAATACATATAATTTAATACTCATAATTTGAGTATCTTACCGTAGTAATAATAACTATTAGTATGAGTATTTTCGGAACACCTCCTGCATGCCAGGCTGTGTATCAGGCATTTGAAATCTATCTTGCTTAATTCACACAACTGCCTTGCCAATGGGCGTGGTCATAAGCCCCTTGTGGTGGGAGGTTAGTGACTTGGCCTACGTTAGGGACCTGGCCTGCGAGAGAAAGGCAGGGCCACGGTGTCTCCAATGTGCACGCATTTTTATTGTTGCCAATAAAACAGGCTGAAAGCCCAGACCAAGAGCCGCTGGCACAGTCACAGTTTGGACTGATCCACACCTACTCTACTACTGTTTTCAGCAGAACTTTGCAGAAGGCCCCACCTAAAGGCAGAAGAGAGGCCTGGGCTGTGGGTCAGGCACAACCATTTGGCTGTAACCACAGACAACTTGACAGATGTGGGCAAGGAGGGAGGCTCTGAAGAGCTGCCAGGGGGACAGGAGCGCACACGGGTAGGGGCCAGGCAGGGTAGCAGTTCCTTTGAACCAAATACTTAAGGGTTCTTGAGGACATTTCCAAATCCCACTTTGGATCTCTGGCCATCTTCCCAGCCTCTGGGGCATTTCTGTAAGGCACTGTGACTCGTCTGAACCACTATTCAGCAATTTCTCTTTCCAGATTACTCACCACATAAGAAAAAGTGGGAACAAGAAGACAGAAAGCAAAGGCAACTTTCCAAACCTAAAACTCTTGGAACGTATGCTCCCTTTATCCTACACCTTTGTCTCAGAGGGAGCATGCTGGGGCCATGGCCATGATTCTCGTCTACGTGTGAACGTCCAGAGAAGTCCTGCGCTGGAGCAGTTGATGCATTAATTCTGAAACGCAGACTCTGAGAACTCTGCTTGTACTGGATGGGGAAGTGTCCAGGTTAGGATGAGCCTGAGAGATGCTGACGGGCGGATTTTGTGAGGGTCACAGCTGTAAGGCCATGTCTGTATACTGAGTGTTCGACTTGGCGCTGGCAGGTGCCGCTTGTCACGGGTTGTCTGCATCGCTTTCCCTGACTGAAACCCAGGTCCGACGCTAACCTGCCCACTGAGCACGTCCCGTCTAACTGGGAGGCCTGCCAGACGCGTATTTTTGATGATAACACTCAGCTGTAAATAAATGTATCATGACCCATTTTGTTAATTTCCTTCTCAATTAAATACAAAAATTGAGTTTAACAAAATATGTTAACAAAAAATAGAAAGAAATAATAAGACCACATAAATCAAATACGATATTAATAGAAGTCCAGAGGAAAGAGAGAGACATGCAAAAGCCAGATTTTTTTTTAATATATATAAAGAGAGACATAATCCCTTTTAGGGAAATGTATTTAAAAATTTATAAAGTGATCAAACATATACTCGTTAGAACAGTTCTATTCACTCATGCATGCCTTCAGGAAAGTGTTAGGGGCCAGGCACGTGCCCCGTAGGAACAGGTGGGTAGACAGTGAGGAAGCCACGAAATGGGGAGAAACCCATCGTAGCAACCCTTCTGCTTGAGAACACAAGTGAGTGCAGGGTAAAGTGACTCTGGCCAGCCTAGAGGCGAGACGCCCCTGCCCACGCTGCGCCCCTGCTGGCCATGCAGGGCACTGCTCCTCCCGGGGCTCCGCTGCACCGCCACCTGCAGGAGCCACGATGCAGGTGCCCAGAGCAGTCTCTCTCTCTTCCAGAGCGGATCTTGGGGTGAAGTAAAATATTCCCACTGGATAGATTCCTTCCCCCCATTTTTTCAGCTTTGTTTGCTTTGAGTTGCTGTTGGAAGTTTCTTGAGGGATTTGTTTTTCCAGCAAATGAGTCAAAAATGCCGCAAAGACAATATAATATATGAGGCATAAAAGAGCAAAACCAAGCGATGAGCAAAAAGCTTAAAGTGTACAGATTTCAACTGAAATAAGAGGTAGAGAACGGGAAAGGCTGCTCCCCCCAAAAAATGTGCGAGAGGAAGGCAGGAACCGAAAAGGAAGTTCCAGGATATTTGGTGGCTGGAAAACCGAAAGCTTTAAAGGTGCTGCATTCAGAAGGTTAACGATCTGCTTTCCCTCATCAAGGAGACACGGACAAAGCAAGGAGCGAGTTAGTAGAGCCGAGAGCGTCGCCGCGGCGCGGGAGGAGGTGATTACTGCGGCAGCAGCGCTGGAGAGCCGGAGTTAGTACGAGGACAGCGACGGCGACACAGGAGGTTTAGAAGAGCTGGCGGGGCGGAGGCGGTGGGGCGCGCTTACCCCGTTGCTCTGGGTGGACTGCACGGACTGCTCGCTGGCCGACGAGCACGTGCTCATGCGGTCCGTGTCCTTGCCGGGGGCCGCGTGGCGGTGCGTCTGGCGCTGGAGGGAGTCGCTGTCCCCCGGGAAGGTGAAGGAGCCGGGCCGGCTGGCGGGGGAGGCGGGGATGGAGCTCCAGAAGGAGCCCCCCTTTTGCAGGGGGCTGCTGGGGGGAAAGGGCTCCTTGCCGAAAGGAGAAGGGAACGCGGTGGCGAGCGGAGAGTTCAGAGGCGACACGGCCCCGGACCTGGGCTTCCCCAGGGGCAGGGAGCCCGGGCTCCCCCGCGCGTCCTTGGCGCCCGCGTCCTGGCCCGACTTCCGGGGGCTGTCCATCACCTTCATCTTGGGGATGGGCTCGGCTCCTCGCTCGGGCCCTTCGGCGTCTCCGCTGGGGGGCGGCCTGCTGGGCTGGCTGAGGCCGGCCTCCGAGGCCAGGCTGCCGCCGGGGGGAGGCAGTGAGGGGCCGGGGGTGCACATACCTGACATCTTGTCTGCCTCTGCCTGGCTCGAGGCTGCAGAGGAGACCAGCACAGGGGGGTGGTGTCGGACAGGCTGGGGGATCCGGGAGGGCCTGCTCCTGCTCGAGCTGGGGCCACCGCTGGTGCCACCGCTGCTGGGGCCGCCGCCGTGGCCGCCTCCGCTGCTGGGGGCCCCGCCGCCGCCCCCGCCCCCTCCGCCCCCGCTGCCGCCCCCGCTGTGGTTCCTCTGGTACTCGATCGGCGATGTCAAGGCTGTAAAACAAGCAAGACACAGCAGAGGAGACTGGTCAGGGCACGGAGGAAAGGCACACGGCGGGGCAAAGGGAAAAGGAACACGAGGCGATCTAAAGGAGCCCTGGGCTCAGATGTGCCGTGGGCTGGTCACAGGTAAGTAATCGAGACAGCCCGCGTGCGGTGACCAGGATCTTTCTACAGCCCACACATCTGGAGGCCACAGACTGGCACCATCCATCAGTAAAGGAGTGAGCAATGTGCTACTCTCCTGTTTACTAAGAAGTTAAAGCGACTTGATGGCGGCAGTGTAACCAGTCCACAGACAGCAGGCAGAAGTGCGGAGTGAGGGGCCTGCGGGTGTGACACTTCAGTTCCCCAAGAGCAGGCCAGCAGAGCCTCTGCATCCCACAAAGAGAGAGGAGTCGCATCCACCCAGAGCACCTCAGAAAATGGCCAGCATCAGTGGGCAGACCAGAGCCGCGCTAGGGCAGAGTCACCTGGGGCTGCCTGCAGCACCAGCTGGCTCCCACTGTGGGAGAGGTTAGTGCCACTTTCTCCAAAGACTTCATTAAACCGGGGAGTAGTTAGTCCAAGAAGAAACAGGCCGGGAGTTAAGTAACCCCTTGGCTACCATACTCAGAGGTAGTTTTATAGACCACCTCTCTTTTGTAGGTTGAATAAACCAGACAAGGGAAGTTAACACATTGACTGCCACAGAAGAAAAAAGTTTTCCCTGGGGCCACGGTGTTTTATTACGAAAACAGAATAAAAACTTCAAAAACAAAATGATCCTCCTAATTTAATGAAAAATTTGTTATTTTTTATTGTTTTCTTGCATGAGTTATATGCAACTTGAAAAATAGTTCTTGTGGCTTCCAAAGTGAAGAGATGTATGAGTTAGGTATGCTTCACAGGCCCTGGGCTCAAAACTAGCATGAGTTAAATACAACTCACATGGCAGTTAATGTGTTAAAGGACCTCCGCAAGGCCCCTTGCTGTCCCATCTCTGACTTTAGTGATTTAGCTTTCTCACATAATCTGGAGCACAGGAATCATGTCAAATAAGACATATGGAAACACTAACACAAATTATTGAAGTTGAGAAATACCATAATCAGATAGCCACTGCCCCCACCCCAGCAGCGGGCATATGTGGGAAAGTACCCTGTAGCCAGAGGCAGTCAACAATCTCCATGTTGCCTTGGCCTCTCACAGGAGTAAGGGTAGAGCCAGAAAGAGAAGGACACGTCCAGAGCTCCCACTCCCTTCATTCGGATTTCCTTTAATCCTCTGGAACAGGTATGATCAGAGGTCCCCCGACCTTTCTGGCACCAGGGACCAGTTTCATACAAGACAATTTTTCCATGGAGAGTGGAGCTCAGGCGGTGATGCCAATGATGGGGAACGGCTGTAAATACAGATGAAGCTTGAAGCTTTGCTGGCTCACCTGCCACTCACCTCCTGCTGTATGCCCCCCGCTTCTTAAGTTTCATGGAAGACAATTTTTCCACGGATTTGGGGAGGGTGGTGGGTAGGCAGGAGCAGAGCTCTGTGGCCTGATTCCTAACATGCCAGACAGGTATGGGGGTTGGGGATGGCAGGGTATGATTATTGACAAGACTGAGTGCCAAGTAAATGATAATACCAAAGCCTAATCATGCTTGCAGTTTGGGAGCAGTTTGTTTTATTTTAAAGACAATGGTAAAAGTTTAGAGATATACCGATTCCCAAGCCACCAACTGGTATTTAATGCACCACTTAAGAACAACGCATTTAAAGAGACCCACATTCTCTCATAGCCACAGGAGCTCAACCTTCTACCTCCACAGGAACTATCCGCCTCCCGCCCCATCCATCCAATTCTAACTGCAAATGTAAACAATTATCAGCTTGCAAGCTCGATAGAAACCCGGAGTTAACACCCAGGCAGCTGATTCCACTTGGACCAAAAATGCCATGGACTTTACATTTTCAATGAGTGCCTACGTTCCTGGCTCTGGAATGTCATGCAAGATGTGGAGGTGGTTTTCTTGTGACAGAGAACATTACAACATCCTACTGGAATTGAGCACAGAGATGCATAATATGAAGAAAAGGGCACAGAAAAGGCAGATTCAATGAACATAATACTTCTGACTGAATTCTCAAAGTTCTTCACTGATCACATTAAAACCAGAGTAGAAGCCAGTGGTCTCAAAGAGATGTCACGCCTATTGCGAGGCAATGTAAGAGCAGTGTGGCTGCTCCCTTTTGTGTTTGTGGCTCCTCTATAATCACTCAAGTAATGGAAGTTGGGAAGGATAAAACGCTCTCATATTTTAATGGCGAAGGGAGGTGTGGGTATGCAATATACTTGTGAATGTCTCCAACATCTTTGGCCACTTCCATCTGCCTTATGTCCTTCTTGCACATTCTTCCTCCTAGGATAGGGCCCTCGTGCACATTCTGTGCAGGGCACATGCTGAGAGCCACACGGCTGCTTCAAATCCTGACTCTGCCACCAACAACTTGTGGGACTTTGGGCAAATTACTAACTCACTCTGCCTTGGCAAGTGGCGAGTGTAGAGGACACTTTGTCTGGGAACGATTCCTTGTTGTTTTTCTCAAGAACATGCCTTGGCCTCGCACGCAAGTCCAGGGCGCCCTAACCCTGCTAACAGGAGGGGCTAGGGAGTTTAGATGCAAACATCTGCTCGCCGGAGACGAAACAACAAGGAACAGGGACGCGTTGAGTCGGGACAGTGTGGGAACAAAGAAATTACGGTGGGACAGTTGCCAAACAGGCTGTGTTATACATAAAGAAACTACAGCAAGAAAGTTTGCTGCAGTCTTGTACCGTCTTTGTGTGTGTCTGTGTCTCTTTGTCTCTGTGTTCATTCCTTGGCCCCTAGAAATGGGCCACGACAGGTGAGGACGACAGTGCTTGCCACACAAGGTGGCTGTGAAGGCGAAATAGAGCAATATACAGATGGCACTTGGTGTGCGGGAAGTGCTAAGTTCAGTCATCACTATGAATATGTAATGGAAGAGAGAAGAAAAATAAAACGTGTCCGTTAGGGAAAGGAAATACGTATCTAGTAACAGAGCATACATTACCATTTAAAAAATTGCGCTGGTTTTCTAAAATTTGGTTGATTTCATGAATCCATGTCTGCCGGACACTTGGACTGGACGAATGCAAAATGAAGGTCTCTACCACGTCGCCTGTCCTTGATGTCAGAGCAAATTTACAGGGGTCATTTTCCACATTTTCCTCCAGGCAAAGGCAACTCACCTTAAAAAAAATTCAAGCATTATTCACAATAACTAAGAGGTGGAAGCAACCCAAGTGTCCATCTGCTGATGAACTGATAAGCAAAATGTGGTATATGCACACAATGGAATATTATTCCTCCTTAATCAGGAGGGAAATTCCAACACATGCTACAACATGGATGAACCCTAAGGACATTATGCTAAGTGAAATATGCCAGTCACAAAAAAAGATGCTGTATGATTCCATGGATGTGAGGTCCCTAGAATAGTCAAATTCATAGAGACAAAAAGTAGAATGGGGGTTGCCAGGGGCTGTGGAGAGAGGGGACTGGGGAGTTAATATTTAATGGGTGCAGAGTTTCAGTTTTGTATGATGGAGAGTTCTGGAAATGAATGATGGTAATGGTTGCATAATGATGTGAATGTATCTAATACCACTGAGCTAGACATACATTTGAATATGATTAAGATAGTAGATTTTATGTTATGTGTACTTTACCACAATAAAAGGATCAAAGCATATTTATCCCCACTGGCCAAAATGCAAAGTGAAGTTCATCCTACATCAAAACTTAAACAATCACTTTTTGATAGAGCTTCCGTTTTTACTTCCTCAGAAAACATTATTGTGAAGCCTTTCCATGTGTCTTTTAACTCAGGTACATGGGGATTATCAGGAGTTTAACTAATAGTTTGAACTAACAGCTTGAACAATTAACTAGAAATGTGGGCCTGAGATTACCTGTTTCCAAAACCCCTCTATGATGACCCAGTGTTCATCCTTCACTCACTTTCCAGGGAATAAAATGACACCATTAAAAAATCCCAATTTTCAGTAAAACCTGTGTTATAAAAGTATACATGATATCATGATTAAAACACATCCAGTAACTTTATAGAAGCAGCAGAATATGTAAGAAAAAATGTATAGAGAATTCCTGTGGTTGTGGAGTGATTTTTCTGTCAAGAGACTTGTGAAAAGAATGGGTGGGAAGTTCAAGAGATGGATGCAGTTCAGGTGACTGATGGATGTAGTTCTGGGGATTGATGGATGTAGTTCAGGAGATGGATGCAGTTCAGGTGCTGATGGATGTAGTTCTGGGGATTGATGGATGCAGTTCAGGAGATGGACATAGTTCAGGAGATGGATGCAGTTCAGGTGACTGATGGATGCAGTTCGGATGATGATGCAGTTCAGGTGATGGATGTATAGTTCAGGTGATGAACGTGCAGGTGTAGTGAAGCGCATGGAGGGCCTGTGCCTGACGTGGCCTCAGAGGGAGGGGTGGGAAGGTGGTGTGAGATGGAAGGGCCCACAGCCCAGCTTCATGCAGAGGCCTCTGAAGCCTTCCTAGGTAGTGGTGGGCAGGAGACCCCCAGCTTAAGGGCTGTGCCCATGGACAGAGCCTTACCAGGCTCAGGTGCAGGGAGGCTGTTGGAGACAGCCAACAGAAGCCTAAGCGGGAAGCCAGATGGGATAGGGTGCAATGTCCTGCCCGTATGCCATGAGGCCTGCAGGTTGTGGAGGGTCTGAGAGGTTCCCTGTCCCTCACTGAGCTGGTGGCTTAGGGCAAAAGGAACTGGGGGAGGGGGACACATGCATCTCTCAGGGATCTTCTGCTGGGACCTCAGTCTTTCCTCTACCTCACCCTTGGTTTGTCCCCTTTACAGAATTTAGGGCCATTTGCAATTGTTTTCTTTGTCTGCTTATTTATCCCATCAGAGGACAAGCGACACCAAGGCAGAGAAGGCATCTGTCTGGGCCGTTCCTGGAGCACTCACGCCTCACACTGACAGCTCAGTAACTCCTTGTTGAATGGAGGAAAAGAAGATGACACTCAGTTAGCTATTTTCTCTGGCTATAGAGCAATACTCCAAATCTGTGCCCCCCAATTTAAACAAGTTTTCCATGGTCACAGAGAAGGTGGTGCGTGAACACTATTCAAGGTGAGGTCTTCTTGTCATGGTGAAAATGAGTGGCTGCAGTCACACTGAGGTGTGTGCAAGACATCAGCCACTCAAGAACACAGAAAGTAGAAAGAGGGATGGGGTGAATTAAAGGTTCTGAAATGGACTAGAAAATTCTCTAAATACTTAATAAACCAAGCATCAGTATATGTCACCATTAAAAAGGAAAGAGTTTATGAGCATGACAGGTATGTGTGCTGGTGTTTGAGAAAACATATACAAAACATGTTACCTTGATACTGTTTTTAAACAGGAATCCTGGCATGGAGAAGCCCTTTTTTTTATCAAGTGGTTCACTGAATATGACGATCTGCTCAAAGAGGAAAATGCGCCTCTCTTTACATCGAGGCAGAAGCCCTGCATCTTGATCTGTGACCAAGAACGTGTCCTGCAAGAGCAGTTTACCCTGGGCAACAATTTTACCCTAAAACAAGAAAAAGGGGGCAAAGGAAGAGGAGAAAAAAACATTCTTTTTAAGTTATCTGAAGTTCTCTTTTCTATACATTTCTTCCCACAGAATAATGTATTTTTCTTCTATTAATTTATAGAGCTTAAAAATTTTTTTCTTTTACCGTCACGTGTGCTTAGCCCCAAACAGAATAGTTATCTAAATAAAATTCTTGTCAACCTCTGTCTAAACCTCTGTTCTCAGTTACAATCAGAGGCTAATGCTGGGATCTTAAAAATGTGTAGTTCACACTAGAGCGGCCGTTCTCAAGGTGTGGTCTCTGGACCAGTGGCCACAGCATCACTCGGCAGGAACAAATCAGACATGTGTAAGAATCTGTCTCAGAGCCCTCCAGGCGATTCTATCCGTGCTGAAGAGTGAGAACCTCAGCACTAGAACTTTAAACCCTGGCAACACAGTAGGCAAGAAGAGTAAAACCTCCCATCTCCTTACTCAATAGTCAGATTAAAAAAAGAGATTCTGGTTCTGGATTCACCTTTAGGACACATAATAGGTAATATATAATATGAGTAGTCTGGCAACCCATACAAAAGTATGTTGGACTAACAAGGAACACAGTGACTCTAAAGTCAAGCTCCCGGGTCCTACTATATCCGTAGCTATTACGGTTTTAAATACAGGGGAAAGCTCTTACAACAGTAGAGGGCCCAAGAGACAAAGCACAGTCCTGCTTGTTTCTGCCACGAGGCTTTGAGCAGAGCAGAGGAAGGTCCCAAAAAAGCAAATCAAATGCATCAAAAAAAAAAAAAAAAGTTGAAAGAAAATATCAATCGGGTTAAAGTGAGATAAGGCAGAAAACCAAGCAAAAAGAATCAGCTTTCTACATGCGGAGAGAAGTGATCCAAGACAGAAGAAAGGGATGGAAGGCAGAGGACCCTTTTAAAGAGCAAGAGCCACATTACATCGAATCCTTGCAGCCGCCCCACGTTCATCATGTCGTTGCACCGCCGTGGTACTATGCACATGACTTCCACGGCTCTCTGCGGGCAGGAAGAGAGCAGAGTGAAAGTTCAAGCTCCTCTAGGGAAGATCTGATGTGCTAACCCAGTTCCTTGCCCTCCCACCCTCTAGAAGTGCAGAGAGCAACCCAGACGCGCCGGAGAGACACCCTCCCAGGGCCAGGCCTTCCTGCTTGGAGACACTCGGGATTAGGAGAAGAGCCCGGCAGGGATTTGGGTGGGCGTAGCCAGTGATGCGAGTACCTCTAATTCTGATGTATCCAGGCTGGCCTTTTTGGAATATTTGAGGAAGTCCTGCAAGGGAAAAGGAGAGGAGGACGTGATGATGGTGATGAGGGCAACAGCTGCTAACCTTTTTGATCACTCATGCTGTGCCAGGCACTGGGTTCAGTGCTTTAGTTCCATTTTCTCACGTTATTCTCTCGGTAAGACACGGTGAGAAGGTGTCCCCTTATGTGGATTTCAAGCTGCGGTACAGAAAGTCAGACCAGATCTATCTAATGGTTCCTGTTCAAGCCAAGACAAGCTCTTGTCCCTCTTTATGTCCAGGAACTACGTTTCCTACACGAAGGAACCCCATACATTTAAGAAGTCGCTTTTATCATGGAAAAATATGTGGCTCTGCCTTTCGTTGTGCTGAAGAATTTATATCAATCAAGGGCTAGTCCCAAGCCAGTGGAGAGGAATACAGAGGGACTAAACATTGACTTTTATCCGAGGCTCCAAGAAGCTTAGAAAATATTTAAGGTTGACAGAGCTGAAGAAAAATCCTTAGCATTCCAAGGTCTGCGGTGGGGGAAAAAAGTTCACTTTTACTGACATTTTGATTCAGAACTTGATGTAAAAAAAAAATGGAGAAAATAGTATAAGATGTTTTATTAAATTTTAAAAACTCTACCTTGAAATATTTAAAATGAGAAGTAACAAGATTGCTTCATATTTCTTATACAAATGACTTCCTTACCTTCCTTCTCACTCTGAGTCCTGTCCTCTCACCAAACTAACTTCTGACACTAAAGTTTGTACCTCCAATCTCCTCACCTTTAGTAACAGCTGATATTTCATAATTCTCTGCACTGGTTTGATCAACAAATCTGTGAGTTGCAACCTGTGGCCAAGGCGCTGCTTTAAATCCTGTGGTTTTAAAGGAGAAAAAAAGGTCTAAAGTGATGTTCATTAAAGGGCACTTTTTTAGTCCTTGTAATTGTCAGAACAGCTTAACTACAACATCGTCAGTAAAAGTAGTAAGAAATAAAAGCCACTTTGCACTAAAACTAACTAGTGCAAAGATTTCCAAGGTTTACACTTTAACCTTTCTAAGCTGTTTTTCAAAGTACTCATTCAAGCTCAAGGGATTTTTTTCAATTGCTTTCTTTTACTCATATAAACATATATGTTATTTTTAGGCTAAAAGTTTAGATCGAGAATTATTCTGAATTTGTAATGAGACCTAAGTTTAACACTAATAAAAACCTTTAACAACTGCTCCAGTCTTCTGAATGCCAGGTGGTACCACCATAGACTGAATTCATACCCATTTCTCTGATTTACAGGAAAGAAATATAAGCTCAGAATTCTTATCACTCAGGCTAATTTTCTGAGAACCGCTTAGTCTCCTGGGAAACCAATAATACTTGCATTTTTGGAAATCAATTGGAAGAAAAGATTCAGAAATACTTTGTTTCTATCTTCGTCTTACCTCGAAAAAGGTATCAATGTATTCTGAGACAATGTGCTCAGACTTTGGTTTATTTTGACAATAAACTATGTACATGTGCAACCTTCTCTCCTAGGAATGAAAAAGGCAAATACGTGGGTTAAAACGATCGGAAGTTCAATTAGAATAGAAGAGCACATGCATATTTCAGCACATTCATAAAGGAAATTCTCTTAAAACCAAGCTATTTTTCTAAATCTCTCGGGAGCACATTCTAGCTTCATGACATCAGTCTTCTGTCTTTGGCTCCAAAAACAGTCCTTCGGTATTGCTCCTTCACATACACCAAACCCTGCATTCACTTTAGTACCAAATACAGCAAATACCAGAGGCAGCAAAAGAATACACTTCTTACTATTAAACGAAGAATTACTCCCATCCCTCCAAACTCTGGCCAGTCCTAGTAAGCCTGGCTATTTTTAGTAGAGGAGGAAAAGCTCATTAATCTCAAATCCTGAAGGCAGGGGGAAAGAAATAGACAATGCGCCTTCCCTTAAATCTAGCAATCCTCAAAGTGGGTGGTGCGCAGACCCCTGGAGGTCTCTGAGGCCTTTCAGTGGCTCCATTAGTTCAGAACTATTTTCAAAACAACACTAAGATGTCATCTGCCTTTTTCATTGTGCTGACATCTGCAGTAATGTGCAAAGCCAATGGTGGGTGAAACTGCTGGCACCTCAGCACATATTCTTCACTGCCGCAAATTTGCAATTAAAAAAATGCCAGTTTCGTTTAAGAATGTCCTTGATGAAGTAAGAAAAATTGTTCATTTTCTTAAAATTCAACCATTGAGTATATACTTTTTAAACATTCTTGTGACAAGATGGAAGTCCACATAATATTTCTGCTGAATACATTGTCTTGAGTCGAGAAAAAGCAATTCTGTGATCAAGTTGTAGGCGACCTAAATGCTTTTTTATGGACCACCATTTTTACTTGAAAGAATGATGGAAACAAACAGTAATTATTTATGCTTTGGTATCTGGTAGACACTTTCTTGAACATGAACGAAATCAGCCTGTCATTTCAAGGCAGACAACTGGCAGTATTTGTTCAGGATGAAAATTCCAGCTTTCAAGCAAAAATTTAGAATCTTGGAAAACATGCATCTATCTGCCACCGTGAAATTGACAATACTTAAAGACTTTTCTGAGAAGATGGATGGTGATGTTAAAAAGTCTGATTTTTGGATACTGTGTAACGAAATGTGTCAACCGCTGGAAGTCAGAGGTTGCTTAAGTGAACTGTTGTCTTCCATTGACGGATGCATGAGGGTGTAAGACTGCGTGGCTGAAAGAGCCTCGAAGTTCAAGACAGTTCAATGGATTTAATGTCGCAGTGGGAGAAGTTCACAGGTAGGTTTTCAGATTCCATGTTGCAACTAACCTTTAAGAAATTATCACTTGTCAAGTTTTGGTATAGTATCTAAAAAAACTATCTAAAATTCTCTGAAAAGGCTATTAAAATACTTTGTCCCTTTCTAACTATACATCTATGTCACGATGGAATTTTTTTTTGGTATACTTTAACCAAAAAAACATATCACAATAGGTTGAATGCAAAAGCAGATACAAAAATCTAGCTAATACGAAAATTTCATCAATTCAGACACTAACAAGATATGCAAAAAATAAAAAAACTCTTGTTACTAACTTTTTAAAAAAAAATGGTGATTTTTTTTTTTTCCTGGGGAGGGAAACCCAACTAGAAAACTTAAATGCTAATATATTTATTTTAGATATACATGCATATTTGGGTCTTATGTTAAACCCACTGCAGGTATACATACATCTTCACCAAATACTTGTCTGCCCATAGACACCCCCAAACGTTACTGCTTCAGGCTTGGCCTTGGTCCCCTCTGACCAACATGTACTGCTTTTAGCCAAATAGCCAGCTGGGGCCAAGTAACCAGGAAAGCAGATAATTGTCATATAAAAAAAGAGATTTTAATTCTAATTCACTAACACTGTACAGTTTGATTGTATGCCTATGTACTCTTGTAAAGTATAAGTGAGTTCTTCCTTAATCTGACACACCAACGACTAAAGATGACAACATCAGAACAGAATATAAACAATGCTATTGTACTTACGTGTTTAACAAAAAGGGATCCTAGTTTTTCCGGATCTTCAAGGCACTTCTCTAACTCTCCTAAAAAAAAGCTGATAGGAAAGAGAATATCAGAATCATCTCCAATTTGGCCTTCTAATTTCAGATTTAGGTTTACATTTTCAAAATAGTTTGCTTTCACATGAGCAGTTGGGAAGTGAAAAATATATGCTTAACAAATATTAACATACACAGAAAACATCTGATCAGGCTATGAAACAAAAAGGGACACACAGTTTTGGAAGATAAGGCAGGATGGGAGCATCTCTTGACTGGCAATCTTCCTTGCCTTTGGACAACAAGCATTTTTGTCTCATTTTTTTCAAGGACACAAGTGCTAATGTCCTGGGATGAATACAGAGTGAAAAATAAAATGTTTCAAAGCAATTGGTCATTTTTTATTTCTGAAAACTTGGTCTTTATACCTCTGAGTTTCATATTCATTCTACGATAATTTTTAGAGGCTCAAATTGGACAACAGACATAAAATACTAAATATGTTACCTGTGCCAGCTTTATGAAGTTTCCTCAAATATCAAAATCAATGTCTAGGTTGTAAATATTAGCTCCCTTTAAGATTAGAGTTAGGTACAATCACAGTAACAAAATAGCAGGGCAATTGCTCTTCATTTCTTCTGGGCTGCAGTTGTCTTTAAGATGTATGTCTACCTTAATCACCACTTATATGTATTCGTATTTGGTATTTTATTAACCTGCAAACCACCAGGCCAATTAATGTTGTGTTAAGGGATTTCCTATCCTCCAGCTCTGCAGACACTGTAGCAGACATTTCTGGATGCAATTTCTCTGATTATCCCAGGAACACTGTGTCATTTCCCCCTTCCCTCCACATCCTTAAAAACCAGCTTTGGGAGTAGAACATTAAATGGTACCAGATATCCCTTTTTAAATTGGTTTCACTATAAACTGGAATGCTGTTTCTAAATTTGACCAAACATTTATCTGTGAATTCAACTAAATTAGACATTGCAGGGGATATGAAAATAAAGACGGTACCTGGGTTAAAAGGTTTTACATTCTATTAGGAAAAATAAGTACATAAATAATAAAACATTACTTGATAAATCCCATGGGAATTCCTCCTCTTATCTGCATAGAATTTTATAGTTTAAAGAGCACATTCCCATCTGTCTGCAGGGGGAGATCATGTCTGACTGGAACGTCCAGGCCTGATGGAGAAGTGAGCACTGAGCTGAGCTTTAGGGCAAGGGCAGGGCTCTGGAGGTGATGACAGAAGGCTCTGGGCAGTGGGAGCAGCAAGGTGCATCACGACAGGAGAGCAGGAGGCCCACCCAGGTAAGGGAGCAGACAGTGCAGCTGGAACACTCTACTGTAATAGCAGTGGCTGCCAGAAGCAATCCTCAGGTGATGAAGGATTTTTAAAATTACAAGCGAGGTAGCCCAAAGGGATGGGTGTGTCGTGCACCAGCCCCCATGTGGGTCCCCTCATCATTAGCATAGCTGTGGGCAAGGTACTGTGATCAAATTTGAATTTCATGGGCAACCGAGTCTATTTTTTCCATTAAAACTGAGTTGGACAAATTAATGTCTTCAAAATCCTTTAATAATAACTTGTATTTATTCTAAAGATGGCTGCAATTCTGATCAGAAGCACTTATTGAGGCTTACTACATGTAGACGTTGTTCTAAGTGCTTTTACAAGTATTAACTCAGTCATTCTTCCCAACAACCCCATGAGGTGGGTGATGTTGTGATGCAGGTGGGCAGATGAGGAATGGAGGCACATGAGGTGAGGCAAATAGCTCAAGGTCAGGACCAGCATGTGGAAGAGCCTCTGCCCCGTGCACTGAAATGCTACTACAGAACTCCTCAGTTCATCAGTATTTCCTTTGCACCGGCTCCCTCCAGGAGGCTACACAAGTAATAAAAGGAAAAGAATAAATCTCCTTTACCGCGGGCCTGGCCTGGTGCGGTTTAGCATGTGCTGAGGCTTTGCACACCACACAGCATGACACGTGTTTACGTACTCTCTGTGCCAGTCATAAATCTGATGGATGTTGCCAAACACAATCTTGTCTTTTCCTTTCATGTCATCAGGAACTCCATCTTCTTTCATAAGTGCCATGTAGCCCTACAATTGAATGTTTAAAATTAAGTTTATTTCATGGAATGTGTTTGAGTCAACTAATGGCTTATTGATTAGTAGTCACCAAGGACAAAATTGACACAGGCACTTTCTTGTAACCAATTTTTTATTTAAAAAAACAAACAAGAAACGTTATATGAACAGTATGCTTAACTAGTACTTGAAATATACCGTTACATTCATTGACTGTCATTTTCTCTCCCTGAACTGTTTAGCATTCACAGATCAAAATTCTTTTAAGGAACTGAAGTTTAAATAAATGTAAATGGTTTCATTAAAATAAATAATCTTATCAGCTCGTACACAGTAAATATTAATATTTGATCAGAATCATATTTCCTCTGTTTTCAGCATGTATCTCATATAAACAGAAAGATTTCCTTTTCTTTTTGGATTAGGGTCTTGCTCTGTTGCCTGGCTATAGCGCAGTGGCATGATCACAGCTCACTGCAGCCTCAAACTCTTGGGCTCAAGGGATCCTTCCACCTCAGCCTCCTGAGTAGCTAGGACTATGTAAACTGTTAAATAAGGATTTAACAGTATTCTCCTTATACATTGATTTTTTCACAAAAGTTGATTAAGTATGTTGCTAAAATGTGGTTTAAAACTTCTATTTAATTCAGCCTGTACAAGAACCTCTTAAGTATTCAAGTTACTTATTAACAATGACTATAGACAAATCAAGTATGTTAAATCTTTTATGTTATCCAATTAACTGTAATAGCTGTGACTTTTAACAAGATATGCACCCCAAAAGTATTCTCCTATATATATTTGCAAAGCTGAAGGAATAAATGATGAAATTTATATTATAAAAATAGCTTTTTGATGAGTTGAATTTATTAATATGATTGTGTCTTGAACTTACTGGCAGGGATTAGCCTAGAAACAGCTCTTGATGCTGTACAAAATGTAGTAGTCATCCTATGGCTGCACAGTGCCCAGCAACTTCAGGTCAGTGAAAATAGTGACACATTCTGTGCAAAACTTTAAGTACGTGACTTGGTACAGCCACAGGCCAAGCTCTGAACTTGGGTGGATTCAGGACGGAAGTGAATCCACAGCTGAGCTATGCTGAATGCTTTTGACCACTATGTTTTCATTTCTGTGATACCCACTCTGTGAAAGAAAGGTAAGACTCCTGTCTAATAAACAATTGGATATATTTGTTTAAAAACTTAATTGTTAAAAAAAAAGATTATGTCAAGATGTAGTATGATGCAAAAAAGCAGCATTACAACTGATACAGATGGTTAATTGGCTCTTATTTTTCAGAAATACTTTGTTGCTTTTTTTTTCAAAACTGTTTGTAAAGCTTTTGAGAGGGAATCAGTGTTAAAGTGTCGAAAATGACAGCTCTTTGGACAACTCTTAGGGCTAATACTAGGTTATTAAACCTCTGAAAATACACACCTCAACCACATAGCCAAGGTCCCGTACATAGTCACGCTCCGTCTCCACTAATTCTTGCAAAACATAGCTGAAAAGAGAGAGAAAAAATAGTGTTTATAATCCAAACTCTTTGTTTTCTAAATGAATTCTTTTGCACCGTTGCTCCTGTCAGGATAGACTCCTTCTGGGACTGAACAGTAATATATCAAATTTGCACAACTGGATCTTAAATTCTTGAGTGTCCCAAATCACTTACAGGTTTAAGTGGGTGACCCATGAGAGCTCCGGAGGTCAAGAGACACTTAGGCACACGGGCATAGTGCAATCAGGGTGAATTCACCCTACAGGATTCTGATCGCATATACGGACAGGAAAGAGAAGCTTAGATGTAACCTTTTTATAAAGCCATGACACTAAAGGAAGCAGCTTTAAAAAAAATAAAGATTAAGTCATTTAAAGCTTTATTGGACATGTAAGAACAATTTTTAACTCAGATGTTTAAAGCATTGGATTTGATCACATCACTCGTGTTTTTGTTTGTAAGGTTTAGTAACTGTTTAGAGCCACTTAGATAATGGAAGATAATCACTTTATCAGTATAGCAAACAACCTCAACTGGCCTGAAAAGGTTCATTCATTTGTTGTTCATTCATTCATTTGGCCAACATCATCCTGGCACCTTTTGGGAGGGAATCAGTGTTAACGTGTGCCCAGCCTCAGCTGCTGGGACACAACACTGGATAAAACCAAGTCTCTGCCTTCATGTAGCTTATAGTTTATCCTATTCTCCAAAGGCAACTTTAAACCTTTTGTAACATTTTTCAGGACTCTTTTACCATGAGCTGCTTTACTAGAGTTGAGAAACACTACCACTAAGGTATGTTCAAAATATATTCAAGTTTTGGGGACTAGTTCTAATTTTATGTTACCTTCTTTTTCTTTCACGACTATATGTACAATAAAAAGCATAGGAGTTCCTCACTGTGAGTGGCAGAAGGTATCTTTGTCTAGATCATTGTTATAAAGTATAACATAAGAATAAGACAACAGAAACTGCAGCTGTGGCTTACTACACCCCTCTGAGGTTCTGGGTCCTCTACACACATACGTACAATTACTCCACCAGAGACCCTGGAGCTCCCACTGCACTAATTCAGAGACGAATCCCAGTCATGTTTCTGAAGGTGACAAAGACAGGAGGGAAGCCAGAGAACAATGAGAATGAGAATACTTCTGTCTTACTGCCTTCTCTTCAAGGAGCTGGATTTCCTTTCTTCCATCTCATCAATGGGCGAGGAGGAAGAGAGAAGGGAGTTGTCCGAGGGGTTGAAGGAAGGGCTGCTACTGTCTCCCTGGTCCACAAGGAGTGAGCTTGGTCGATCCTCCAGGGCCTGGAAGAGATTTAGATAATCGGCAATGCTTACTGCCTACCGTGCATGATAGCTTGAAATTAGGATAGGAAATTCTCCCAAGTCAGAAGATGTGTTTGTAAAATTATAAAATCTTTATGCTTGCGAAATGAGAGAGTATTTTAAATACAAAAAACCCTACTATTAATAAAAAAAAAAATGGAGTCAGAGGAGCTGGGTAAAAGAGGAAAGTTAGAATGAGAAGAATAGTGAATTTATATACATATCCTCTTCCTTGTTATCACATAATTAGAAATGATATACTTACATCAGAGCACTGTATTCATTTTTGGATATATCACGTATTTCAAATCTAGCAATTTTCTTTTTGGTTATATTCCTGCCAAATGAAAGCATGAGCAGTTCAGAAGCGTGTGGGTCAGGCCATCCTGGCCCCTGGACATGGCGCCCACATTCCTTGTTGGTGGGCTATGTAGCAGTATCAGCAATCTATAGTTTAAACAAATTTGGTTTGCTCTTGATTATCCACGAAGCCTTGACTCATACTTACATGTACACAGATCATCCAGCTAAAATTAATCTCTATCTCACAGCTTCCACTCTATCCCTTCTATAGGAAGTAGGAATCATGCTGGTCTCAACTACTTCTCCAGGACTCTCTCTCCCCCACTGGACTTTAGCTTCTGCAGGTGATTGTTTTTTATTGTTATATCCCCTGTAGAACCTCACACGAATTTTTGCACGGGTTCAGTAAATCTATGAGTTGAATATTGATGACTTCTCTCCCTGGATGAATGTGACAGTGATTAGCAATTACTTTCTGACTGGTACATATTAATTTTGTGGCTTTACCTGGATTCACAAAGCCCCTAGGAGTTAGTTCTTTTGAAATTTCCAAATGTCTAGCTGGATATATAAAAATGACTGCACTGGAAACAAGTGATTAACTTATCTTTGGATAAACAGCATAATACAAAATGCAAGAACACTTAATACTTAACACCTAATACATGTGATATTAATAAATTAAAATCTCTGATACTTTTCCTATTTTCTCCCCTTTACAGTAACAGACTGAATCTCACTTCATCACGAAGCAGCGCTTTGAGGACATGAAGTCTGTACACCCAACCTTGCTAAACAAAACCCACAAAGCTGTACAAAAACACACCAACTGCTGCTCTTATTTTTGAGAAACAGGACATTTAGTTAAGGAGCACAGTTTGATCCATAAATTGCACTGCTTCGCTACTGACCTTTATTGGAAGCAAAGGTTTGGCTGTCAAGTAGCAGAGCTTGATTCATGTGTCAGTTCAGGCATGTCTCTGACAGGAGCCCCGAGGGAGAGCAAGGAGCAAACACTGGGCCCTGTCGCCTGTCTGGACAGCTGAAACTCGTTAGATTGAATTCTGTTCACTTGAACAACGAGAAGACAGAAAGGAAACAAAGGCTCCAGGAGCGAGCAAAGAGGTGAAGCCATGGACTTCATCAGTGCCCTTGGGGACCTGTCTTCCACAACCAGTGGAACGTCTGTGTGGACCCAAAACAAAGGAGTCTCAGGCCCCTCTGGCTGCCTGTGCTCCGATCTGACCTGCCCTGATCAAGAGAGGCAACCCAAGAGGGTGCAGATGCCCTGACGGGGAGGCAATCATGGTTATATGTCCTTGTCACCTTAATGACACTTGATCCCTCCCTGTGGCCCATTTACCTCTCACACAAATGTGAGTGAAAGGTTGTCACCAGCATAAAGCCACCTCAAATGCAGTAACTGGGACGCTACACACTTTGGATGAATTATTTGTGAAACCATCTGGGTTTGGTTGTTTTTGTGTCCTCGTCAACTTTCTCTATTTCTTACATGAAGACAGGTCTGCACAGATACTATCTCTCTTCTGAGGTTAGTTCTGACAAATTATATTTTCTTTCGAAACTGCCCATTTCGTACACGTTTCATTTCAAATTTAGTTTCAAAGAGCTGAACAAAGTAATGTCTTATGATTGTTTGAATTTCTTCAGTTTATTCCTCCCTTATAATTTCTTAATTTTGTGAATTTCTGCTACTTTCTTGAGGTTACTTAATGTCTGTATTTATTTATATCTGTAATCTGTATTAAAATAGATTTCTGGTTTTATTATTCTACTGTTTTCCAATTCATTAACTTCTGCTTTTATCTATGAATTCATTCCTTTGGTTTTTATTTGGTTTTTCTAACCTCGAGTGAGATGTTACTTCATTTATTTTCATTCTTTCTTGTAACTTTTTTTATATTTTTATCAACGAAGAGAAGAAAATCCTAAAGTCAAGTTGAAACAGTCACTGGGGTGGTAGGCCACTATTACTCTATTTCCAATGTGTAGGAAAAATGCACATTTAAAGTAACTGCGTAACAGTCGAACACCTTCTCTCCTCTCCTCCCCAACCAAATAAATTAATATGTCGCTTCTGATGGATAAACAATTCAGTATTCAAATCCAGTTCTCAAGGCATGACAGCCTCAGAAATCTCCCCCAAGAAAATAAACATGGATGACTAAGGGTCCACAGCACAGACACAGGAAGCAGGAGAGGTTAAAGGATATTAAAATCATTCACTGGAATTTTTACTGACAAAAAGTAGTTCATTCCCATTTGACATCAGAGGATTAGTGACAGGAAATCAATGCAGAGTTATGTTTCCCTTGAACCAGAAAAAGAAGGCAGAGTCCAGATTACATCCCACGGGAGAATGAAGAAGAGGTGACTCTGTCACATAAAGTACAAATATGGTCCTCCCAGGGAGCAGGGGAGGCATCAGTGAACACCCACATGGATGGAACCTTCCTAGGAGCACAACCAACAGCGTCCCATTTACGGCTCAAAGACCCGGGCTCGGAGAGGCTGAGCACTCGCTGGTGGAACTCCACTGTACGCAGAAGGTCGAGAACCCGATCCGACCCCAAAACCTCTGCCTTTCTCACTGTGCCAACAGTGTTATGTCCTTCCACTTAAGAAGAGACATAAGTGTGTAGAAATAACTTAGTTTCAACTGAGTAAATTGAGAAAGTTTAATTCCTCACAGTTGAGAAAGGAGAATAAACCAGGAGGAGCTGGAAGGGACCAGGCCACAGGCCATTCCTTCCTTTGGAAGTCCACTCGAATTAATTACAAATCAGTCAGAGACCACATAAAACAGAATACACTGTTTCTTGACTAGTGAAGAATTAGCTACCAAACCCTAGCAACCTTCCTTTCTAACTTCGAAGCTCATTGTGTCTTTTTTTTTTTTTTTTGAGACAGAGTCTTGCTCTGCTGGCTAGAGTGAGTGCCGTGGTGTCAGCCCAGCTCACAGCAACCTCAAACTCCTGGGCTCAAGCGATCCTCCTGCCTCAGCTGGGACTACAGGCATGCGCCACCATGCCTGGCTAATTTTTTCTATGTATTTTTAGTCATCCAGATAATTTCTATTTTTTTTTTTTTCAGTAAAGACAGGGTCTCGCTCTTGCTCAGGCTGGTCTCGAACTCCTGAGCTCAAACGATCCACCCATCTTGGCCTCCCAGAGCGCCAGGATTACAGGCGTGGGCCACCGTGCCCGGCCTTCATTGTGTCTTTTACAGAACACAGTGTGACTGCCCAGGGAGAAGTTCTTAGCTATGGCAGGGTGACATACATCAGTCTGAATATTTTCTTTACATAATTCCCATTTGATCCAGTCAACTAGCTTCATTAGAGGCCGGTTAGGGGTAGAAGAAATAGGAATGATATATCTGGTACCTAGTTAATACCCGAATATAAAAAGATGGAAACACATAACTTTAAACAAATATACTCTCTGATCTAGCAATTCCAATGCTGGAAATCCACCCTATAAATATAACCACAAATATGTAATGAACATGGATGTTTATAATAGTGAAAAACTGGAAACAACTTTAATATAATAGGAATTTATTTAAATAAATTGTAGTATAATCATGTTTCTGACCCTTAGTAGCTAGTCAAATTTTTAAATGTTCTGTGTGCCTCAGTTTCCTCATCCGTAAAATGGGATAGTAGTGCATGCCTACCTCACAAGGTTGTTGTGGGGGAGTATATTTAAATTAAGAAAACTGTGAACCTATCTGTGGGTATCGCTGCCCCTGGGTACTTATTTGGACTGGAGCTGGCACACAAGTGCTATGAATGCAGTCAATTAGAGTACAGTGAGAGGCCTGCCCTTGGCTCCTGCAAGGGAACCTCGGAGGCCCTGGAACGGCTGCATACCTGGGGCCCTTGGGCCAAGACAGACAGTCTATGCTAACAATGTGACAATATCTCCGCCTCTGGAGGGGCAGGAGACTAAGGTCAGCCACACAGAGCAGTTAACCATGTACATGTGACTGGGCCCCAGAAAGAAAACTTCAATACCAAGGCTCGGGTGAGCTGTCAAGGTTCGCAATACTTGGCCCAAACTGCCACATCAACACTGCTGGCAGAAGTCACTGCTTTTCTTCACCGGGAAAGGACAGCCAGGGACTTGGACCCAGCACTCTCCTAGGCCCTGCTCCATGTAGTGCTTCCCTTGGCTGATTTTAACCTATGCCCTTTCGTGGTGAGAAACCGCAGCTGTGGGAATAATGGCTTCTCTGAGTTCTGTGAGTCCTTCAAACAAATTAGTGAACCTGAGGGTGGTTGTGGGGCCCCCCAAACTTGCTGTTGGTCAAAAGTGAGGGTGGTGCTGGGGATGCCCAGGCTGTGCAATAAGCTACATTCTGCAGCCCAGAGCAACACACAAATGAGGGCAAATCCATGTGCGGGTAGCAAATCGGAGCAGTTTCCAAAGCTCAGCCTGTCTCTGGGAGGCCTTACCATCTTGCTTTTCACGAGTTCCTCAATCGCACTGACAAGCTCGGCTGCACTCGGCGTTTCGGAGCTGGTGGGGCGGACCAATAACCGGGAAGAGGCCTACGGAGGAAGTTAAGAAAAAAAGGAGGGGGGAGGGGAAGGCCTCGCATTAGTAACTGGACAGACAGTAAATTCCCCTGCAAGCTCGAGCTCTTTTTAAAAGTAATTCCAGACAAAAAGACCACAAGTTTGTCTTTGTTTGCATTTATTTAAAGTCATCCTTTTAAATTTACAATATTCTGACATGAAACATTAAATAAAACCTGTCTGAGATACATGTGGGAAGCAGACAATGTCTGTTTTTAATCCGCAGTCATGTAACATCGTAATGTTTTTCAGAGGTGACTGGGCCCGGGAATATCCTAACTGTAACTTTCACGACTGCCGGCGAGGCTCTAGGCTAAGGAGAAAAAACACAGAATCTGATCTACGGAAGAATGGGAGGCTTAAGGTCTAACGAGTGAATCCTCGAATAATCAGGAAACAAAACAGGATACTAAAAATGGCTGTACTGAGTTTATGGGATTAAGAAAAGAAAGAAACGAGAAAGAGGCAAGGAGCAGGGTGCGGTGACCAGACAGGGGAGGAGGGGAACGAGCTCACCATTTTCTGTGCCATCCATTTCCCCATGATTAGTGCAGAGTACAGGAGAGCTGAGGCCTCACAACCTATCAGATGCCACTTATGGCTAGAATTGAGGGCGTAACAGGGTGGACAGTCAGGGAATTTGGGGGAGAGGCTACTAAATTGGAGTTTCAGTAATTAGCAAACACAGGGTGTTTGCAGATTACTTGCACTGTTAATTAATCGGGAACTAGAGGGGCGTAATATGAACCTTGCTTCATATTAAGGACAGCAGAGATGCATGCGGCACACGGCTACTGTCCCAGCCATGCGTTTCTCACAGCAGACAGATACAGGTTTATACATTTACAACGAGGCTTTACATGTGTGGATCAAAATGCGCACTTTGCAAAACAAATGTTGGTTTGGTCTAATGGAATATGGAATATGGGGTGAAGAAAACAAAGAAGAAAATTCAAATGGAAAGGTAAGGAAACTGAGCCAAAACAGACACAGAACACAAATCAACATAATGCTGCAGTGAAAGTTTACAAAAAGAGAAAACAGAACAAAACAAAAAATTAGTCACAGGATAATATACTGTCTGGGAACATCACTACAGATTTCTGTAAATGAAGAACTGCTATTGATAATGCCCAATGAGGTAACACAATAACCAATAAATGATTCTAGCAAACAGAGGAATACAGTGCAATTCACTGTTAAAATGGAGAAAAGTACTCCCTCACTAGGTGAATAAATCAAGAAGGCCCAGCCCCCTCACTGTTTGGATAAGCAACCAGATTTAACACATTTTAGTTTTCTGCTTTTAAAAAAGGCATGGCTTAGAGTATCACAAAATAGCTTGGGAAATGTCAGTGAAACCACACAGCCCCCGTGTCCTGGCTAGTCACTCTGTGCAGACAAAACTCAGGTCCCAAACCCGAGCTAAGTTCTGCAGCTCACGGCCACTGTTTCAAGACCCACGGCACCTAACAGTGCATGGGCTTTTTGCTGCAAAGGGAGGAGGAAGTAGATTTCTACAAAGAAGGGGCCGTGGAAGTGTCTGCGTTGGGTTAAGGCTAATGTGTGATATGACCTGGCTCACAGCTGCCAACCACGGGCTGTGGCAGATCCTGGGTGGTAAAATACAGGGTGATTCATCCGGCAAATGGTTGTACTAGCACTGACAAGGGAGGAAGGGAAGGAAAAAGGGAAAGGACGGAGAAAAATTGTTGAAAACATATCTGTTTTATTCAGAAAACTTCAGTTACTGCCAAAAAAATCCCAAAAAACAAAAGCCCAGTAATGACTCTGGAGCATGATTTTCAATACCTGACAGTTTTCAGGGGCACGGTGGGCTAGTGGATGTGCAGCTATATTTACCAGGTTTCCTTTTTGATATTTTATTTTTAGGGTTCTACAATTGGGATATACAAAATAATTTTAGATTATGTAAGAACTCAAGGAAAAAAATTAACTTGGCTTAATGCCTCTGCATACATCCAAAGAGGAGATTCATGCTTTCGACTGATTTCTATACTTTGACAACTGTGCCCACGCTCTAGTGTATCGATCCCACAAACTAATGCTTGCCATGCTGGAAAAATAACTGGACAGTGACATCATCTCAGCTTAAAACAGAAACCTGTGTGCCAAAACACCTCACAGAGGGAACAAGATGGTCAACTGATCTTTTAGTGATGCATTCAGGTAGGCTTCTCTGACGGCTCTCAGGGACTCTAGTCAACACATTGGGAAACTTTAAAATTACTTTACAAGCCACAATTACTAAATCCTCATTAAAAATGCAATGAGCCACACGTGCATGAGAAACTGCACGTGCTGACCTACTGCTCACTCTAAATGGCTTTGTTATGTACACTTCTGGGGGGCAACCGGGCTGACTCTGCCTGGAAAAGCGCCACATCGCCGGGGGGCCTCTTCCGCACCTCTGAATCTCCTGTCTCCCCAGAGGAGGATGGTGTGGAGCAGCTCCCAAGAGGGCCCTGCCCCTGCCACGTCCAGCCTGGCCCGTGTGCCCCTTACCTTGTCATCCTGTGAGTCCGGCTGGAGAAGGCTGTGCTGCTGGATGGCCATGGGTGGGGGGAGGGGCACGGCGTCGGCCCCCTCCTCACCTTCCTCTTCTCCACAGCTCTGCATCCCCGAGGAGGAGGATTTGGAGAGGGTGCCACTGCTGAGGCCTTCGTTCCGGCCTCTCTGAAAGCAAATCAACATTTGCTGGTTATATTCTAGGCCGTGACTACCCAGGCCCATTCACAGGCACTGGGTCCTAAAGGGTCAACTGGAAAAGCATAGTGAGGACAGAGGCAGATGGCAGGAATCAGGAAACAGCCCTTCTTGACTTTGATGGTAACGTTTCACTCGCTTCCTGCAACCCAGCTACCTTGCTCACCAACTTGGACAAGGCACGGGCCATGGACTCTGTCGTTTGAAGGGACTGTCAACATTATCCGTTAGGCTCTGGACACATCTCATTTTCAAGAAGCCAATAAGAAAGGGTTCAAAAATTTGAGCCACAGCCCTCATGTTGATTCAGCTCGCCAATTTCATTTTGGGTACGTTGCAATAGGAAAATTCACTGAAATAATAAGGGCATAAAAAAAATATAACCCAAGATGCATTTTAAGCATCCAAATTACGTATTCTTTCCCTCTGCTCTTGCTTTGAGAAAAAAAATCGTTTTAGTTTTACTAAGAGGACACAGATTTATAAAGCAGATACATAAGTACATAACGACCCACATACTCCAGTGAGAAAGCTCATGGCCAAAATATGCCCAGGAAAAAACCCAGCGGAAAACACATATCTGCCAAATAAATGAAATGATACGAATCTGAACCTGTCTCTGTCTGTCTTTTCTTTCTTGAGCCTGTGTGGGATTTGGGGGTGGAGGGCTTCAAGTTAATGACTTGGAGGGCCCCTCACCGATACCACCATCTCAGGCGTCACAAAGGAATTCTGTTTCTTGCAGTATAATTTAAAGCGTCCACCCAACCAAAAGGAAATTAAAAAAATCCCTAGCTGACCTACACGTATTTACCTTTGGTGTCAAAGGAATAACCTGGTATTTACCACTGGGCCAGGAGAGCAAATCAATTCGGTATTTTCTACTCAGGACAAGCCGTAAGTATAAATACTGGCAAAAATAATTAGAGAATGCAAACATTCCACAAGTCCTTCCAAGTTTCAAATCTGAGCTTTCCCTACAAAGTGCTGCCATGGTCCTTCGTGCTGACCTCAGGGACTACTCAGATCTTCTGCGGCTCTACTCAGTGCCTCCTGGCTTCGCCTCCTGGTGGAGTAAGGAGGGGAGGGCGGAGGGGCTGCTGCGCCCACTTCCTCCCGGCCAGGGAAAGGGGGTGGGAGATTGGGGGTGGTGGTGACTGGGCCTGGGGCACGAGCTCCTGGTGCTGTGACTTCTACCGTGCTACCAGGGAAGCAGTCGTCTTTCATGTTGTCCCCACCGACTCTAACAGTGTGCTGAGCAGAGATGTTAATGGTAATGTCTGTGTAAGCACAGAAAACAACCGAATCGGTTTATTCATAAGACAAGCAACTACTCCTACAACTGCAAAAAAACAATGAAAAGAAACATGGGAAGGTTTCCAGCCTCTCACGATTTGAACGGCTAAGCCTGTCTCGCCGGCACACTCACCTCTTCCACGGTCTCATCCTGTGGGGTGGCCGCGCTGTCGTCTGAGTCCTTCTGCGAGCCGGCGTCGGCGCTCTTGCGGACCTCCCTGCTCTTCTTGTGCTTGTGCGCGAGCTTCTTCACGTGCCCGTCAGCCTTGCCGCTGCTGAGCCGCCGCACTGGGCTGGTGAGCCACTTGCGCAGGGTGTTGCCTGGCCGCTTGGGGCCTGGAGAGCTCTGGGCCCCGATCATGTGGGGCTGCAGGGAGGCCACGGAGGCGGGCGGGCTGGCGTCATTACTGGAAACGGACAGCGAGTCTGTGGGCGACAAGGAAGACGGGGCTAGGTGACAGATGACACATAAAATGATACAGGCTGGCCCTGGTGAGACTTTGTGACAAAGAGAGCCCATCTGGAAGGTCCCATTGGTTGGTCTATTAGAGGAGCCACCCATGGCCTCTTGTTCCAGCCAGACCACACAAGGCACATGGGGTCTTTGCTTGTAGTCACGACAAAATTCTCACTATTAACAAAAATAACACCACATTTAAAAAAGAAATGTGATAGGAGAAGCCATCCTCAACCAAAATGCTCTAAAAAAAAAAAAAAAATAGATATCCAAATCAAGCTTCTCACTAGATCAAAAAAATTGAAATATAGTCAAACCTGGGTTGATGATTTTTCAAGAGAAAAAAACACGAAATTTAGGTAGCAGCGGACATTCAACAAATCCACGGAGTCACGTGAGGTCTACTTTATAACCTGAACACCAGTGCTGGTGTACACTGCTTGGCCCCTGCTGGGCTCTGGACTTGGGCTCCACCACAGTGACAGGGAACAAAATGCTTCACTTCAGGAAACAGCGTGATGAAGACGATGATCATTCATGGCACTTGTCATTTTCTCAAGTTTTTTGAAGTCTTAAAAATAATTAAAACTAATCTTTGAAAATATTATTTTGAACAGACACCTGCGCTACCTGTGTTTACCTCTGTGGCCCTGGAGCCCATTCCATGAGGCAGTTAAAATCCCCGTGATTATATGAGAGTCAGCAGCGTTTTCCCACAAGTGCTCCCGACACTTGGACTAGACAGCACATGCCCTTCTAATTACTGTCCCATTCTTTCCCTGGCCCAAGACACAGACTGGTGAAGGGTATAATCTTCCATAAACATATGATGCAATTTAAGCAGAATCACTCATTCTTAAAAATCTAGACTTTTCTCAAAGGGAAACTTTGGTTCAAAACCAATCAGTTTCTGTTAAAGAGTAGTAACCATTTCCCCTCTGTATGTATGTATGTATGTATACACGTATGTGTACATATACACTTCTTCATATGTTTATTTTAGTCAAATAAAACATTTCCACATCAGTCTCATTTTCCTTAGGAATGGTCTGGAAGAGGTAGGAGAGAATGAAATCATTAAGTTGAAACCATTCCTAGGGACTTTCTCAGGTGCCGATTTAGAGTAAAGGGTGAAAGAGGCACACTTACTTAGTCTCTGGCCTCAGGTACTCTTGGTGCAGTGACAACAGGAGGACAAAGAGTAGAGGAGGGTTTGGATAATCCACACGTCAGATGATAAGTTATTCAACTGATGTTTTTTTGAACAACAAGTATTAGCAGGACACTGTACTGGCTGCAGCAGGCAGAGGATTTCAGAGTCATTTACCGTGGTGTGACTCAAAGCTAGGCCCTGGACTTTTCCCCGGACAGAGATGAATAACACCCAGTTTCCTCCCCCGCAGGACCCACCTCATAGTGTTTTCTGGATCACATAACTATTGTACACTACAGGCGAGGTACAAACTCCGTTAGAGCTGAGAAGGGGCCACAGGAGGAGGAATCATGAAAGGCCTTGTGAACGAGGCAGCGCTGACGCCAGCCTTTGAGGGAGCCGGGCCCGAGCAACCGTGAACTGTGTCAGGAGCACGTCAGATCTGTGAGGGCACAGGCCTCATCTGTCTGGGACCTGCCATACTCCCAGGGACTCGCCCAGTGCCCAGCATACAGCAGGCACACATTAAGTATTGAACGCAGACATCAGAAACCAACAGCCTAAGGAAAAAGAGCAAGCTGAGTCACAGCCCCTATTTTAAGGACAGTCATTTACTTGACGTACATTCACTCAGCCAGACAACTGCACAAGACAAAGGACTATGAGGGAGGTGCCCAGGTGGAGGTGAGAGACGTGACGCGAGCTCAAGGAGCTCCGCTGCGCCTTGGGTGAGGTGGAGGCAGGAAAAAGACCCAGGCTCACTCACTTGAACAAAACTAAGCAAGATGCAGGTCTTAACATTCACAGGCAGAACGTTTACACATCAGAAGTAACGGGGAATGCCACCTAAGCCAATAAACCAACTTCATAGACCTCCTCGAGCCTAAAAGTTGAGAATGTGGGGGGACCTGGCGTGGGAACAATGCAGCATATAACATGAACCCTAAGTGATGCCTGCAGGCTGTAGAGAAGGAAGGGTGTTCTCGGAAGAGGGCATGCGGTGTGAGCAGGGACGCAGGGCAGCCCTGAAGCATACAGACCTCCCTGTCGGCTAACAGATGCGGCAGCCTCTGCACGCATGACAGAATGAACTGCAGTCAATTACTAATGCTTCGTGGCACCCAGCTGGCTTTATAAGGATGACTCTCAGGACACTTTAGCTTTGCCTGGGAAAGGAGCTAGTTGTTGGAAAAATGGCTCAAAAAGAAAAAGAAATTAGAGATGTCATTTCCCAGCTTCTCTCTATGGACTCAGCTGCATAGGATTTGGTCCTTTGCACGTTGGGAAGCATGTTTGACAGAGATTTCCTGCTCACTGGCAGGTCGGGCATTAGGAATGTGGCATGGGCCAAACATCCACTCTGGAGCCCGGAGGATCAGAGCTGCCCGAAGTGGGAGCTCATCAGTGCCACAGACGAAACGCAAAGGATTCTGTGACTCTGCTATTCTGAAGGGAATAGGCAATTTTCTCCCTGAACTCCTACTTATCAAATCACTGCAGTGACATTATTTCACTTCACTGGAATATTCATGACTTCGAAAAATGCTAGCAGTGATCACAGACTTAGAAGGAAATTTTGTGGAATTTTTTATTTTACCTTGAAAAAAAATTTTGTTTTGTTTTGTCATGCTATTAGACTCTCCCTGAAAAAATAAATTGTTTTCTTCTCACTACAGAAACTCCTTTTGCCTAAGTCAATGGATTGTAACAGCCGATGCATATGTGCTTTGCTGGGGGGGCGACATAATGCATAAATCAGGAGTTTAAAAAGCTTAAAAATTATTTAAACTTAATGCCATCATTAACAGAATGAAATAAACTGCCTGCTATTATTTTTAGTTATCTGAAAAACAGACTTTTCTTGCTAGACCAACTGCTCTGCTGCAAATTTTGAATTACATCACATATGCTAATGTTTACCTCTAGTAGAATTAAGGTTTCCAAAGTTACTGGGCACCAGGTAAGCGTGCATCACACAATAAACACAGAGCTGTACAATTCTTAGGTCTCTGTGGGAAGATCGTAAATTACTGGTCTGCACACTGTCGCCTTTCCCCAGAAGAGGGCCTGATGGCTGTCTTAGCGGCTCAGACACCCACACTGTGTGTGGGGGGGCATGCTCCCTTCCTCTTGGTATCTTGTCCTCACCTTTTTTCTCAGGATTTGACTGTGGACGGCTCAGCCCAGTAACAAGGGTAATCCTCAAGAAGAGAGCAGACAGTCAGAGCCCTGTGTAACCGGTTTGTGACAGCACTTTCCTCCCTGGGTAACTGTGAGGTCAGGAGGCTGACCACGACCCTGGACTCCAGGCTTTGTGTGGGAGGGTGCCATGTCTTGTTTGCGACTACAGGCCCAGTTGCCAGCAGGTGGCCTGATGCACCCTTGGTGCTTAATAAGTACGTGTTGGATAAATGACAAACAGGTGAGCAAATGAACCAGCTGCAGGCTATTCCCGGTTTCCCTTCTCCCAGGATAAGCGGACCGACTGATAATTTATGTCAACCCCCTGAACAGTGATGTCCTGAGTTAGTGGTACTCCCTGATCAGTTATGGGAGAAACTACAGGTCAAGTTCACAGTCAAGTTCAGAGTTTGTGCATTATTTACTCCTAAGATGATAATTCAAAGCAGATGAAGGCCATGTCCTCACAGTGACCCCTATCTCTCACCCAAATTATGCTTTGTTTTCTCACAATGTAGAGCTGGGCGGAGTGCACAGGAGCATCACCCATCACGTGAGGGGTCGGTGCAGGGGCACAAAGTGGGCTCAGGACAGAACTGACCAGAGAAATACCATGAACGACTCATTTGTTACTCCAGAAAGTTGTATTTGTTCCTGTTTCCCATCGTCGGTTACCCCTCTCTGGCCTCCCCGCGACTTCTACCTTCCTGGAAGAAAAAGAGCCAGCTCTCAGTCTCGCTTTTCCCCCGTCACCAGCTCTTGTCTGCAAGAATGCCTCAGTTCCCACGAGGCCTGCTTTCCTCTTTTCAGCTTGGGGAAACCCACTGATCCAAGGTCCAGATGGGCGATCAATTAAGAATGTCACAAAGAACACTGGACGCGTCAGAGGGTCGGCGTGAGCCTGGCGCTCCCACTCCACAGCTGTGGCCCCCGGAAAACACTGCGGCATCTGAGTTTTCCCATTTCACAGGGCTGTAACAGGATTAAGTGAAACAGTGGGAATGAATGAGCTTTATAAACTGTAAAGTCCTACTTACACATGTTGGAGGGCTGGGGCATCCAGAACTCCACGGCAGTGCAAAACTTACTATGCTGTATTCATATAAACCGAGTACCCAGAAAACAGGCATTAGGTTTAATCGCAATTGGGTCTGTAATCGCAGGCCTCGCATGGCGTCTAGGAGACACTAAAAGTCATTTTTAGATGTGTGAAGAATGAATGAAGCAACCTAGATGAATCAGTTCCTTCTGTTTCTATTTTTAAAAACAACTTATCCCTCGTTAAGAGGACACAGTGAACTTCAGCATAAATAGACACCATCAGCACGTGACAGTCACTTAAAAAGATGCTCAACTGTGTACATGAGAGAGCTGCTGGGATCTGCTCGAAGCCCCAAGAGAAAATCAATTAAAGTTGATCTCTTCTTATTTTGAGAGGGAAAAATCCTCACATAGATGGCTTCTTTGCTGAAGTCAGAGTTCACGCAAAGTCCACGCTAGATTCCTTTTTAAAATAAAAAAAGAAAAAAGCTGAAGAAAAGGGGCAAGCACAGCTCCGACCTTCGGCCCCACAGGAAGGGGCTGCACCGCGGGAACACACACAGCCCCAGCGCTGCCAGGAGGCGAGAAGCCGCC